AACTCTATGTGGTTGAAGTTCTGTTCTGCATGGACATCTGTTAGTTGACATATGTTTGCTTGTGCATGAAGTGTGAAAAGGCTATCAATCCCACAGTTGGTAAGAAACATTAGCTCTCTTGTTTGTAATAGGGAGAGGAATACAGTGTTGGGTCAAGAAGGCAATCATTCAAAATGGAACAAAATGGCATTTTCATGTCTTTCTGTGGTTTCCTGCCCACTCAAGCAAAAGGAGAGATTTTACTCAGTGCCTTTTTCCATATGTCTGACACCTTTGCTTTTTGTAGGATCTTCAGACTGTCAGAGCCAACATGTGCCCTAAGTGACATGTGGTAGCAAGGACATGATTTCAATTTTTAGTAAAATCAACAAAGATGTTTCAAGAGGAGTCAGATAACTGCTCTTTGATCAATGCTTCATCTAAGTTTATAGGGGCTAGTGTTTTCTTTGCTTACTTTTGTGTACCTTACATAAATGATAGAGGAATTGGTTTCAATGGATAATCACATATGCTGTGAAACAGAGAGCTTTAAGGAATTACATGCAAATCAGATTTGAAATGGGGGCGAGGAAAGAGGAGGAAATAAATGTAAGTTGGAAGTTCTGAGCAGACTTGTATGTGGGGCATAGTAACTCCAGCATGTTAAACTTAGTTTGCACATGGTTGGATGTTCATGACTGTTTCCATGACTAAAATGGTAGCTCAGGTAGAATAATAGCTGGAACATGTCCAGAGAAAGGCAAGCATAATAGTAAAAGATTGGAAAGCCAAGCCCTATGAGGAGAGGTTTACAAAACTTGGAAGGTAGAGAGGGTATGTGATAACTCTGTTTAAATATCTGAAATGGTGTCATATTGAGGAGGGAGCAAGCTTGTTTTTTGCTGCTCCAGAGACTAGGAAATGGGGAAAAATGATTCAAACTGCAGAAAAAAAGATTCCACCAAATAATTAGGAAGAACTTCCTGGCTGTAAGAACTGTTGACAGTGGAATACACCGCATCAAACTGAGACTTCTCCTTTGGAGATTATTAAACAAGGGTCATCTGGTGGGAGGGTTTTGATTGTGTGTTCCTGCATGGCAGAATAGGGTTGGACTGGGTGAACCTTAGTATCTCTTCCAACTCCATGATTCTTAACACAGAGTTGGAAGAAACCACAAAGACTATCCAGTCCAGCCCCCTGATATGCAAAGACACACTGAACTGAGCATGATTGGCAAAAGATAGAAAGTCTATCCATTGCTTACATCAGTTTTACCTAAATACAACTATATGTCAAGATGGAGATGGAAAGAGATGACAGAGTTAGAGAAACAGAGATAGGCAGAGACGGATAGACCAGCTAGCTTTTACTCTGTACCCAGTATAACAACCAACACTTTCACTTAGAATCATAGAATCAAAGAATCAAAGAGTTGGAAGAGACCTCATGGGCCATCCAGTCCAACCCCATTCTGCCAAGAAGCAGGAATATTGCATTCAAATCACCCCTGACAGATGGCCATCCAGCCTCTGTTAAAAGCTTCCAAAGAAGGAGCCTCCACCACACTCCGGGGCAGAGAGTTCCACTGCTGAACGGCTCTCACAGTCAGGAAGTTCTTCCTAATGTTCAGATGGAATCTCCTCTCTTGTAGTTTGAAGCCATTGTTCCGCGTCCTAGTCTCCAAGGAAGCAGAAAACAAGCTTGCTCCCTCCTCCCTGTGGCTTCCTCTCACATATTTATACATGGCTATCATATCTCTCTCAGCCTTCTCTTCTTCAGGCTAAACATGCCCAGTTCCCGAAGCCGCTCCTCATAGGGCTTGTTCTCCAGACCCTTGATCATTTTAGTCGCCCTCCTCTGGACACATTCCAGCTTGTCAATATCTCTCTTGAATTGTGGTGCCCAGAATTGGACACAATATTCCAGGGTAGCATAAGCGGAATAGAGGGGTAACATTACTTCCTTAGATCTAGACACTATGCTCCTATTGATGCAGGCCAAAATCCCATTGGCTTTTTTTGCCACCACATCACATTGTTGGCTCATGTTTAACTTGTTGTCCACGAGGACTCCAAGATCTTTTTCACACGTACTGCTCTCGAGCCAGGCGTCACCCATTCTGTATTTTTGCATTTCATTTTTTCTGCCACTTCTCTTTACCTTAGATCAGTGGTTCCCAATGTGGGGTCCGTGGACCATCAGTGGTCCTCAAGAACAAAAATATGGTCTGTGGTCTCACCATTACTACACCGTTGCCACAAAACCACATGGCAACAAGATCAACTGATCCCACAAATCCCTCTTATAGTGCTGAGGCAACAGGGATGTTGGGAGGGAAGGGGCTGACTACCCATGAAAGATTACTGCTACCATATCAGCTCTAGATTATTAAATATGGTTTTCAACAAGCGAGCAGATGGCGACTACTGGATGGCATCTGTTCTCTCTCAGAAACTAGAGCTGATGTGGTCTATCCAATGCAGTTTTCAGAATCAGCACCCCGAATAACCAAATCGAATCAAAAATTGACCAGAAACTGATTTGTAACCCTTTTGACACTAATGTTGGAGACTGGTCCATGGTCAAAGTGGTCCCTATTCAAGTAGTCACTGGCCAAGTGGTCCCTGCTCTAGTGGTCCCTGGCCAAAGTGGTCCCCGGTCAAAGTGGTCCTTGGTCAAAGTGGTGTCTGGTCAAGTGGTGCCTGGTCAAAGTGGTCCCTGCTTTAGTGGTCCCTGCTCTAGTGGTCACTGGTCAAGTAGTCCCTGGTCAAAGTGGTCCCTGATCAATTGGTCCCTGGTCAGGTAGTTCCTGGTCAAAGTGATCCTTGGTCAAAGTGGTCCCTGGTCAAGGGGTCCCTAGTCAAAATGTTCTATGGTCAAGTGGTTCCTGGTAAAAAGAAGGTTAGGAACCACTGCCTTAGGCGAAGGAAGTCCTTCCAAGTCAGAGCAAGTGACTTCCGGTTTCAGGTCCAACATGGCACCTTCCTAAAGAGATTGCTTGGCACCTGTGTTTGGATAGATCTGGCCAGGTTTCTCCTTGTATCCTTCTATAGTTTTGCTGTTTCAGCACTGGGAGGATGGACAGCTCCACGGGGTTTTGTCCTGATTCGAAAGCATAGGCGATTGACGTACTCTCGGGGACTAAAAGGAAGCCCCTGCCTTTGCTACTAGTATTTCTTCCCCTTTCCTCCCTCCCCCTCCCACGTTCCTGCGGGATCACACTTCAGTATCTTTTTTTAAAAAAAGTCTTGTTTTATTGTACAAATAGTCAGCGTCGCGTCTTTCAGGAACCAATGCAATTATCCCATGGAGTGGCTCATACTAAAGGAGAGGGCAGGAAATGACACCTACATAGAAACGCCACATTTGACCAAGGCCTCGTTGCTATCTCGTTGCAAAGGGTGTGTGTTCTCCTTCAAACCCCCGACTGTGCTTTAACACCATCGTAGACAAGGTCACCCACAAAATTACAGGATAGGTTGAAGTCTGTTGAACCCAAGTGACCTTTCCAACAGCTCTGATTCCTGAGATAGATAGATAGATGATAGATAGATAGATAGATAGATAGATAGATAGATAGATAGACACACACACACACACTAGCTGTACCGCCAGGCGTTGCTGTGACCAACCTTACCTCCCTCTTTCTCTTCTTTCTTTCTCTCCTTCCTTCCCTACCTCTTTCCTTCCTTCCCTTTCTTTCTTTCCTTCTCTCCTTCCTTCTCTTCTTCCTCTTCCTTCCCCCACCTTTTCTTTCCTTCCTCTTTCTCCCTTTCTCTTCTCTACCTATTCTTAGACTAACTCCCAGCAGTCCTCCTGATAATCTATCTATCTATCTATCTATCTATCTATCTATCTATCTACCTATCTACCTATCTACCTATCTACCTATCTACCTATCTACCTATCTACCTATCTATCTCTATTCCGGCCCCACTTACCTCTCCGAATGCATCTCCACCTATGAACCGGCGAGGACGTTAAGATCGTCCGGGGAGGCCCTGCTCTCGGTCCCGCCGGCATCACAAGCGCGGTTGGCGGGGACGAGAGACAGGGCCTTCTCGGTGGTGGCCCCTCGGCTATGGAATGCCCTACCAGCGGACATCAGGCAGGCCCCTTCGTTGCTGGTGTTTCGGAGGAGGGTTAAGACGTGGCTCTTTGAGCAGGCGTTCGGATAGCTGTGCAATTGCAATTAAATCCAGGAAGACGGCATAACTGAACAAGGAACGGCAATGGAATGTGAGAACGGAATCTGATTTTATGTGAGGCGTTGATGTCTATATGTGTGTCGTTTGTGTATGTTTGTCTTTACATTGTTAGTGTGCACAACTTTTACTGTAAACCGCATTGAGTCGCCGGTCACGGCTGATAAATGCGGTATACAAATAGCGTAAATAAAATAAATAAATAAATAAATAAATATCTGATCTATCTATCTAGGGGATTGCTGGGAGTTGCAGTCCAGAAATAGGAAATTGGAAATATGCAGGGATTGGGATGCTCCCAAAGAAATCCAAGGAGAAGAAAACTTGCAGCTTGGATACAGTGCATTTGGATCATCCTCCTCTCCTAAAGGGCCTGGTCAAGGGGAAGCTGGGAGCTGTAGTCTGGAAGAGTGTGTGATTTGCTTGTGTTTTGCTTGCCAGGGGAAGTAGTTTTTGCACATGTGCAGCATCTCTTTGACTTTTTTGGCTTTTAAGTCCCTTCTGCTATGCTTTTCAATTTTTTTATGAGTGATGGTCACTCATTGACCTGATAGGTGCATTGTGTCCAAATTTGGTGTCAATTCGTCCAGTGGTTTTTGAGTTATGTTAATCCCACAAACGAACATTACATTTTTATTATATAGAAGATATATGCGTAGACATATTTATTCATGTGTGTGTGTGTGTATGTGTAGGTGTATATTTGTGTGTGTATATATTCAATCCAAACACTCCTCTGGCTGCTTTAAATCACTTCATTCTTTCCTTGTAAATCAGAAATCAGGTAGATATTACAAAAGCGACGAGGCTGCATGGTTTTAAAATAGTCTTTTATCAAAAGAGTGTCTTTTAAAAAAATCTGTACAAAAAAAACCTCACAACAAAATAAACTCACCACGGGAAAGGTAGCAAGGAGAAGGAAGAAAAGCGGCTGATTGAAAAATAGACATTTGATATATACTTCTTTTCTCTCTCTCTCATTATTATCATCATTCTTATTTATTTTGAAACTGGCCCCTGACTAAGTTTCTCTCTTCTTTTCATTAATTTTTTTTTAAAAAAGAATTGCATAGATCCAAATTATTGCTTGCGATTTTGTTGTTGTTGTCCCGATCAGATCAAGGGAGTGGAGCTGAATCTTTTTCTGTGATTTTTATAGACAGAACCAGGAAAAGGGAAAATGGGGGGGGGGGGGCAGGAAGCAGGGAGGTGAAGGCAACTTCTGCCTGAAAGTCTTTGAAGAGAAGACACGGGGATGATGACTCCAAGGCCTGGGTTGCTTTCCCCCTTCGCCTCCCCTCTCTTTTATTTCCCTCCTGCTTCTTTATTCACTGGCAGCTGAGCTCTGCTAGGAGACTCCTTGGATCCCCCACTCGTGGAAAGTGGCATTGAGCTGACTGTTTGTGTCCCTCTCGTGGTGGGCATGGCAGTTTTGGAGGAAAGGAGGTGGTCCTAGAAGCGGGTCCCCTTCTACAGACCACCAGAAGTGGCATTTCTCAGTCCTGGAAGATGTCATGTAGATGGGCGTATGGCAGGAGGTTGTCCCTGGGTGTCTTTCCTGTGGTGTCCAGGTTGGGAAGGTCTTGCAGTCCTGGAAGATGGCCCTCATGAATCTCTTATGGTGGGCACGATGGCTCTCTTGCAGCAGGAGGTTCCCCACCCAAATTGATCTTTTTTTTGAGGCTCTTGGGAGGTGGCATCATTCAGTCATGGAAGATGACCTGGAGCTGGGCACTCATGATCCTCCTGTGGTGGGCACTGAAAGAGGTTGTCCCTGGGACACCAGATGGGCCTCCTTTGGTTCCCTCCCAAGGCGCCTCTCACTTGTGGAAGATGGCCTTGAGCTGGGTGATGGATACAGATCTCTTAGGGCAGGAAATTGTTCCCAAGACATACTGTCAAGTGGGTTCCCCAGGGCTCCCTCCCATGAGATCTGGACAGTGTGCCTCTCAGTTGTGGAAAATGGCATTGAGCTGGACACTCATGACTCTCTTGTGTTAGGCCTAGTAGGGGCAGAAGATTGTCCCTGGAATGGGTCTCCTTCTTGAAGCTGCCAGAAGTAGCATATCTGGTCCTGGAGCTGTGCACTCAGGACTATCTCATGGAGAGCAGGAGGCTATCCTGAAAACCCTGTTGGGTGCTCAGGATGCTCTCCTGTTAAGCCTGGAAGCTTGGAGAGATCAGGAGAAGGTCCCCGGGACACCTCAGTTGCTGGAGGCTCCTAGGAGTGGCATCACTCAGTCTTGGAAGATGGCCTGGAGCTGTGCACTCAGGACTTTCTCATGGCGAGAAGGAAGTTGTCCTGGGGGTGCAGGTGAGAGCTCGGAATGCTGTCCTGCTAGGCCTGGTGGCTCTGGGAGAGCAGAAGAAGGTCCCTGAGATGCCCCACTTGCTGGAGGCTCCTAGGAGTGGCATCTCTCAGTCCTGGAAGAAGGCATGGAGCTGATGTATGACAGGGAGCCTGTTCCTGTCAGGTGTCTTACCCGTGGCGTCCAGGTTGGGGAGGTCTCTCAGTCTCGGAAGATGGAATGGAGTTGGGTGCTCATGACATTCTCATGGTGAGCACCATGGCTCTCCTGGGGCAGGAGGTTGTCCCGGGAATGCTCCACCGAATGGATCTCCTTCTTGAGGCTCTCAAGGGTGGCATCTCTCAGTCCTAGAAGACGGCCTTGTGCTGGGTAGTGGGCACAGCTCTCCCAGGGCAGAGAGTTGTCCTTAGGTGCCCCATTTAGGAGAATGAGGGCCTCCCTCAGTCATGGAAGATGGCATGGAGCTGGACGTTCATGAACCTCTCATGATGGCTCTCCTGGGGCAGGAGGTTGTCCCAGGGATGCTCCACTAAATGGATCTCCTTCTTGAGGCTCTCAGGGGTGGCATCTCTCAGTCCTAGAAGACGGCCTTGTGCTGGGTGATGGGCACAGCTCTCCCAGGGTGGGCAAGAGCCTCCCTCAGTCATGGAAGATGGCATTGAGCTGGGTGTACATGACCTTCTCCTGGTGGGCACCATGGTTCTCCTGGAGCAGGAGGTTGTCCCGGGGATACTCCACAGAATGGGTCTCCTTCTTGAGGCCCTCTGGGTGGTGGGCGCAGCTCTCCCAGGGAGGGCGAGGGCCTGCCTCAGTCGTGGAAGATGGTGTTGAGCTGGGCGCTCATGGCCCGCTCGTGGTGGTGGTGCTGGTGGTGGTGTGGGGCGTGGCTCTCGTAGGGCAGGAGTCCCTCGAGGGGGATCTCGCAGCGGGCTGCGGCGCAGGAGAAGAGGGCGCCGTGCCCGGCTCCGGAGGGCGGGTAGTGCATGGCGAAGGCGTAGGCGCCCTTCTCGAAGTCGGCGGCGGCCGTGGCTGAGGCGGCGGCGGCGGCGGCCTCGTGCTTGAAGGCGAAGTTCCCTCCGTGGACGCTGAGCGGGGGGCTGAGGGGCCCGTCGAAGGCGGCGGGGCTGGGCGCGCACTCGGCAGCGGCGGCGGCGGCGGCCACGGCGGAGGCGAGGGCGCTCTCGAAGAAGGAGGGCTCGAGGGCGGCGGAGGGGGCGGGGGCGGCGCTATAGGCGGCGGCGTGGGCCCCCTTGAGAGAGGAGAAGAGGTGGGCGCCGTCCATGGTGCCGTAGGGCGGGCTGGGCAGGCCCGGGGAGGTGTAGGCGAAGGGGGCTCCGGGGAAGGGCCCCGGCTGGGGTAGGGCCGGCTGGGCCAGGAGGTGGGCCTGCTCGGCGGGGCCCTGCTCGGGTAGGAAGGTGCGCGGGTTGAGCTGGAGGCAGCCGGCCACCAGGTTGGTGGTGGGCTGCGAGAGGCCCTTGCACAGGCTCTGCACGAAGGCCACCAGGTCGGGGCTCTGGCCCGAGCGCAGGATCTCCGACAGCGCCCAGATGTAGTTCTTGGCCAGGCGCAGCGTCTCGATCTTGGACAGCTTCTGCGTCTTGGAGTAGCAGGGCACCACCTTGCGCAGGTTGTCCAGCGCCGCGTTCAGACCGTGCATCCGGTTCCGCTCCCGCGCGTTGGCCTTCATCCGGCGCAGGCGGAAGCGCTCCAGGCGCGCCTTGGTCAGCTTCTTCTTCTTGGGGCCCCGGCGCTTGGGCTTGGGGCCCTCCTCGCCCTCTTCGTCCTCCTCCTCTTCCTCCTCCTCGTCCAAGGCTTCCTCCTCCTCGTCGTCCAGCTCCTCCTCGTCCTCCTCTTCCTCGCCGCCTGTCCGCAGCGAGTCCACCTCGGCCTCCAGGTCCTCCTCCTTCTTGTCGGCCTCCTCTTCCTCCTCCTCCTCTTCCTCCTCCTCCACCTCCGGGGGGCTCAGGCAATCACCGGACCAACTCGAGGGGCCCTGGGGAGGCAGAACCTGGGGCTCCCCCACCAGCCCGCCCTCGCTGAAGGACTTGGTCATGCCGGACCTTCCGCCTGCAAGGAAGAGAATTATTATTATTTATTATTAACTATATTTGTACCCCGCTAGCATCTCCCGAAGGACTCGATGCGGCTTACACGGGCCGAAGCCTCAGAACGCAATACAATAGAAAACATAACACAACAATAACAAAGCAAATCAAAACAATTAAGCAAAATAACAACAATGACAATACATCAGTACATCAAGACACTGTTAAAAACTGGTTCGGCCGGCGCAGTGGGGTACAGGGTTAAAAGTGCTGAGATGGCAGGAGGAACGTAGGATTAAAAGTGTAGTGTGCAGTAACATTGATTGTGCTAAAGTGCTTCTAGGACTTGGGATGGGGATTCCTAATCTGAGAAGGCACATCGGAACAGCCAAGTTTTTAGATTCCTTCTGAAAACTGCTAAAGTAGGGGCCTGTCGGAGATCTTTTGGGAGGGCATTCCAAAGTCGGGGGGCCGCCACAGAGAAGGCCCTGTCCCTTGTCCCCACCAAACGTGCGTGCGACGTAGGTGGGATCACGAGCAGGGCCTCCCCAGATGACCGAAGGGAGCGTGTGGGTTCGTAAATGGAGATGCGGTCCCGCAGAGAAGAGCAGCAATCATGACCAAGATCAGGAGCATGAGGACGAGAGCACAGGCAGGCGAAAACTTCGGCCCTCCCAGTGTCTTGGACTTCAATTCCTAGAAATCCCAGGAATTGTTGGAGTTGAAGTCCAAAACACCTGGAGGGCCGAAGTTGGCCCATTCCTGGAATAGCAGAAGAAGACAGAGGGAGAAGGGAGAAATGAAAGAGAGAGGGAAGGAGGAAGAGAAAGTTGAGGAGAGAGAAGAAAGGAAAGAGAAGAAGAGAAGGTTGAGAAAGAGGATAGGGAGGAAGAAGAGACTAAGGAGAAAGAGGAAGAGGAGTGAAAGGGAGAAGGAGGTGGAGGGCGAAAGGAAGGTTGAGAAGAAGGAGGAAAGAGGAGGAGGAGGAGGAGGAAGGGGAGGTTAAAGAGGAGAAGGAGGAAGAGAAGGTTGATGAGAAGGAGAGGAAAGAGGAGGAGGAAGAAGAAACTGAAGAGAAGGAGGAAGAGGTTGAGTAGAGGAAAGAGAAACAAGGTGGAAGAAGAGACTTAAGAGGAGGAGAAGGAGGAAGAGGAGGTTGAGGAGAAGGAGAGTAAAGAGGAGGAGGAAGAAGAAACTAAAGAGGAGGAAGAGGTTGAGTAGAGGAAAGAGAAACAAGGTGGAAGAAGAGACTTAAGAGAAGGAGGGAAAGGAGTTGAGAAGGAAAGAGCAGGCGGAGCAAAGGAGGAGGAAGAAACTAAAGAGAACGAGGAAGAGGTTGAGGAGAGGAAAGAGAAAGAAGATGGAAGAAAAGACTCAAGAGAAGGAGGAAGAGGAAGTTGAGGAGAAGGAAAGAGGAGGAGGAAGAGCAAACTAAAGAGGAGGAGAAGGAGGAAGAGGTTGAGTTGAGGAGAGGAAAGAGAATAAATTACAATGGAAGAAAAGAAGTAGGAGAGGATGAGTTATTCGGAGGTATTCTTCAGCACTTAAGTAAGGAGAACCCCAACACGGAATTGCCCTTCCCAGCCGCCTTCAGTCCCAAGGAGTATCAATCTACACTGTCCAATGAATGCGGTTCGACACCATTTTCACTGCCATGGGATCTTGGGAATTGTGGGTTTACAAGATTTTTACCCTTCACTGTCAAAGAGTTCTGGCGCCTCGCTAAACTAGAACTCCTATGATTAAATGAAGATTGAAATGGAGCCATTCCAGGGTGTTGGGGCTCCCCCATTTTTCTAGGGAAAGCAGTATATATAGGCATGATCATAGAGGCACAGAATCCTTGAGTTGGAAGAGACCTGGTGGGCCACCCAGTCCAACCCCATTCTGCCAAGAACCTTCCAAAACGATTTTCCAAATCAAAAGCACTTCTTCTTCCGGCTCCCTGAGAATACAAGTTTATTTGAAAGTTACAAAGAACATTACGATTTAGCTTTGGCGCAATTGGAACGACTAGATCCATTCTTGGATCCATGGAAAGGACGGAAATGTCACTATTGATTTCAAAGGATTGCGTTCCCAAGTGAGGATCAGTTTTGATTTTTGGCTTGTTTCTCCTTCAGTTGCTTCTTCGTCCTTTGCGGGCGTTCCCCATCCATTTCCAATTTAGACCCCCCTTTTTAACCCCTTGGCGTTTGGTCCGGCGAGTGATGTTTCATTTCCTCTCCCATTTCTCTGCTACAATGAGATTTCTCCTCTCGGATAGCATTATGTAACTTGTTTATATATTCCTGGCGATGGCTCTGAGGAGATTAAGTAGACAAGGCGGGGGGGGGGGGGGGAATATTGAGGGACACAAAGAAGAAGAAGGAGAGGCACTAATGAAAACAAGTCGGGTTTTTTTTTCTTCAGCCAAGGCAGGGCTTTCTTTCTTTCTTTCTTTCTTTCTTCTCCCCTTTCTTTTCTTTTTTCTTTTCTTTCTTTTTCTTTCTTTTTCTTCTTTCTTTCTTTCTTTCTTTCTTTCTTTCTTTCTTTCTTTCTTCTTTCTTTCTTTCTTTTTTTCGTCGCCTTTTCAATCCCTCCAGCCTGGCCCCAGAAGCCACCCGATGCCACCCTCCACAAAAGACCTCCAGACTTCCCAACTGTTCAGAGTCAAGCCAAACTGAAGGGGGATCAGGTGCAGGAAGGCCTCCTCCGTCTCACCCCACACACTTTTTTTGTCCGTTCAAGGAAAGGGAGTGGGGGCAGGCTTGCAAATGAGGGGGCGGATGGCACCAAACCCCACCATCGGGGCGGCGGAAGAGATCCAAACCATTTCCCCCAAGGCGACTCAAATGCAACAGCTGAGCCCTTCCGTTCCAGCCTTGAAGCCCTGAGCTCCCCCATTCCTTCCAGGAAGGTGAAAAGTGCTCTTGTTGTCCTTAGTATTATCATTATGGGTTCCGACAGAAGCCCTACACTCTCACATTCCTTCCGGGAAGGTTATCATCATCATCATCATCATTGGTCTCGTCTGAAGCCTTAAACTCTCACATTCCTTCCGGGAAGGTTATCATCATCATCATCATCATTGGTCTCGTCTGAAGCCTTAAACTCTCACATTCCTTCCGGAAAGGTTATCATCATCATCATCATCATTATTATTATTATTATTATAGGTCTTGTCTGAAGCCCTACATTCTCACATTCCTTCCAGGAAGGTGGTTATTATTATCATCATCATCATCATCATCATCATTATCATTATTATAGGTCTCGTCTGAAGCCCTACATTCCTTCCAGGAAGATTATTATTATTATTATTATTATTATTATTATTATTATTATTATTATTATTGGTCTTGTCTAAAGCCCTAAACTCACACATTCTTTTCAGGAAAGTTGTTGTTTTCATCATTATCATTATTTCGGCTTCTCTCTGAAGCTATGAGCTCCGACTTCCCTTTCAGGAAAGTTGATAATAATAATAATAATAATAATAATAATAATAATAATAATAATCACCACCATCATCTTCTTCTTTATTTCTACACCGTTCTCTCTCCCAAGAGGGACTTAGGGCAGATGAAGATAATGATGATAATGATGATGATGATGATGATGATATCATCATCATCTTTGTTGATTTTTCGCGCCCACTTCCTTTTCAGGGAGCTCACAATTACGATTATAATGCTCCGAAATTCTTTTCCTCAAAGTTATTATTGTTGTTGTTGTTTCTTTCTGGGGCCATGAGTACCCACTTTCCTTCCAGGAAGGTTACAATTCTTGTTGCTGTTGCTTTTGTTTTTTGTTGTTGTTATATTATTATTATTAAATTATTATTATTATTAATAATACCATAATAATAATAATAATAATAATAATAATAATAATAATAATACTTCAGGAGGGCTGCAAGCATCACCATTATATTATAGTATGCTATGATTACACTATCTAACACGATTTTTGCCCCTGGGTTATACATGACATTTTCTAATCCGTTCTGTTATAAAAACGTGGGGAAAGTCTATTTAACTGCCAAAACTTTGTTCCTGCAGGTCGTTTTGCTATGGTTTTTCAGTGAGTATCTGACAGAGTCTCAACCTATTCAACATAGTTTGTGGCAGCCACACAAACGAAGTTTCTGGAGTACAACAATTACTTTCAAAGTAAGTACGGCACACTTAAACAGGAATAATACTTTCTAACCAGGAAAGAAAAGTGTTATAATCATCCTTATCCTTATTGGTAGAGCCCCCGGTGGCGTAGTGGGTTCAACCCCTGTGCCGGCAGGACTGAAGACCGACAGGTCGCAGGTTCGAATCCGGGGAGAGCGCGGATGAGCTCCCTCTATCAGCTCCAGCTCCTCATGCAGGGACATGAGAGAAGCCTCCCAGAAGGATGATAAAACATCAAATCATCCGGACGTCCCCTGGGCAACGTCCTTGCAGACGGCCAATTCTCTCACACCAGAAGCGACTTGCAGTTTCTCAAGCCACTCCTGACACGACAAAAAAAATATTTCCTTCTGAAGCCCTGAGCTTTCCCATTATTTTCAGGAAGCTCATTATTATTATTATTATTATTGTTTACTGACACAAAAACACAGCATATCACAGCAAACGAGATAAATAAAGTTGAATAATAATAATAATAATAATAATAATAATAATAATAATAATAATATATGCTGGATTTCGTATCACAAAATCACAAGTCGAACACTTCCCAAGTTGTTGTTATTATTATTATTATTATTATTATTATTATTATTATTATTATTTCCTCCTCCTCCTCCTCCTCCTCCTTCTTATTATTATATTGTTATTATTATTATTATTATTATTATTATTATTATTATTTCCTTCTGAAGCCCTGAGCTCCCACATTCCTTCCAGGAAGATTACAATTTTTGTAATTGTTGCTGCTTCTCTTGTTGCTGTTCCCTCTGAAGTCCAGGAAGGCTACACGTATCACTGTCATATTACATTATAATATCTTATACTATGATTATTGTGATTACATTTATTTATATCCCGCTTTCCACTCTGGCTGGCCATCCAAATAGCCGGTTAGCGCTGTCTTTGCCCAACCCAGAGTAAGATCTCTATCTCTGTCTCTGTCCCTGTCCCTGTCCCTGTCCCTGTCCCTACCCCTACCCCTACCTCTACCTCTACCTCTACCTCTATCCCTATCCCTATCCCTATTCCTATCCCTACCTCTACCTCTACTCTACCTCTACCTCTACCTTGTTTCACTTCCAAATCGCTTGGCATCTTGCTTTTCCTACCTGCTTGTCCATTCCCCGAAATGCAGGCACCGATTGGCATCCCTATTACCCACTCCGTGCCCCAAAGAAGCTCCCTTTGGGTCGCTCCCTCTTGCCAGGTTTATACCTCAATTCCCATGATCAGGAAGGACAGAGTTGTGTGGCAAGGGGAGACACAACGACTCAATCGCCTCTCGTGTAAAATCCTTCATCGGATCTCTTTGGAAGTTCCATCCTATGTTGCCCAAGGAAGCCAGTAAGGTGATTGAGAGAGAGAGAGAGAGAGAGAGAGATTGCTTCCTCCCCAAAGCTGTCCAACCGAGAAATCAAGACTCAGCATTACCTTTCCTTCCTCAGCGCGCTCTTCGCAGTGATGGTCGCATCACCCTGTTGCTCCTGAGATAGCTTTCCCCCCCTTTTGATTATTTATTTTTGTTCCTCCCTCTCCTCCTCCTTTTTGAGGATGCCTGGAGAAGAAGGCTCAGGTTATATAGCCTGGCTGTTTCTGAAGGGGTAGCGGGGGAGGGCGGGGCCTACTTTTGGCCCCGCCCTCCCCCGCTACCCTGGCTTTGACTGAGCCGCAAGCCACGCCCSCTGCTCCTTATCTCCCCCCCCCCTTCTCTCTCTCTTTGGCGTCAGCCTCCCTTGCCGGCACGCGCCATATGGTCCCCTACGTCAGGCTCCGAGGGGGAGGGGGTCACGTGACCGGTCCATTTGTATGCCGCCYRGCCCTCTCTGCCTTCCCTCCCTTTTGTGGCCCAAAGAAAGTGGCCATCTGTCGCCGGTCAGAGACCTGTTCTTGCTTTTTTTTGGGGGGGGGGGGCAGAGATTAACCCTTTCGGACGATGCACTCCGTATCTGGGTGCATCTGCATTTAGGATTAATGCAGTTCGACACCACTTTTGCTAGTTTTACTCAATCTTTAGCCAAAGAGTGCTGGTGCCCCACCAAACTACGCTATAGAAAGAAAAGGAGCCTCTATCCAAATGCTGCTAAATTAAAGGTGGACTGCTGCTTGCCTGTCTAACTATGGGAGCAGATCTTTATTGAATGGACATAATCAAACGTTGAATCCATGCTTGAAATCCGCAATCAGACATTGGCAAGGAAGCCACACACTGAAATGAATGGCCAACCTCTTTTGAATGAATTTTGCCAAAAGAATAAAAACATACACAAAGCACAACCTTATAAAGGTGAGAAAAAGGACTGAAAAAAGAGACAGATGTTGATGTTGACATATGATTCAATGCGACTTTGCATAATTTGGAGAGAAGAAGAGATGAGGTTAAACTGGAGGTGGAGAGGAGTCCCTCCAAGGTGTTTTTTTTACTTTCTTTATTGTGCTATAGCATTGAGCCATAGCAGTGAAAGTGGTGTCGAAGTGCATTGTTTCTACAGTGTAAATGCATCCCAAGCTACTTTGATTTTCATCATAGGGGCCCATGAAATCTGTGAATGGGCCACTTTTTGTGAGCACATGAATGTTTTATAACTAGGTGTGTCTTATGATATTCTCTGCCTTTTTTGTAAGCAGCAGCCTGAGAGAAAATGGGATATAAATAATGTATGGGATGGATGAATGGATTACTAGAGGGGCATCTACACTGACCATTTAATGCAGTTTCAAGCCAGTACTGAAGACTGTGGTTTTACTGTGCAGATGATTGTCAGGGGAGGCCCTGCTCTCGATCTCGCCTTCATTTGGTGGGGAGGAGAGACAGGGCCTTCTCTGTGGTGGCCCCTCAGCTATGGAACAGCTCCCTCTTAAGGTTTCGGAGACATGTTAAGACATGGTTATATGAGCAAGTGTTTACAAATGGAGAGTAACTGACAGGAAATGGAATCACTTGACAATGGAACTTGGACTTTATTTAACTAGGATACACTGATGATACTGATGTTGGTTTTTATTGCTTCTATTGTAGTTTTATACTGTTTTAATGTTTAATTTGTATTTTGTTGTTATGTGTACTGGTTGTAAACCGCCTTGAGTCTCCGATAAGGCTGAGAAAGGCAGTATACAAGTATAGCAGACAAACAAACAAACAAACAAACAAATAACAGAGGAAATCCTGCAACCAGTTTGAAGCTCGGAGAATGATTACACAAACTGCAGAACTCTGATGTGCAATAAGGGCTTTTTGTGTTGTTGAAGGCAGAAATCAGCTTTGAAGCTGCTAGGTTATTCAATGCCAATCAAGGTGTCCAATTGTAACATTCACATTTGCCTCAGGCATACAAGAGTTCTTTCTCCCACCCTGGACATTCTACAGTATAAACTCCACTTGCCTAGTTTCCAACAGGCCTGAGGATGCCTTAACATATATGTGGGCAGAATGTCAGGAGAGAATGCTTCTGGAACATGGCCATACAGCTATCCAATGCTTTTTACCCCATCTGCAGTTTAAAGCTAGCTTCAAACAGCATGAAACAGTCAGTGTAGATGTGTCCTTGATGGGCTTTTAAAATCAGTTGCTCCACTGTATTTTCAACATTTCCCTTTCCCTTAGAAATACATTCCTTTAACGCCTGAGAAGAACTCAGCTCACATTTGAGAAGGATCTGACTTGAAACAACATTTTGATTTCTATGAGACAAGGAGAAGTCATGCCAAAGAACAAACAAAAAGTTTAATTCAATGTGTTGTCGAAGTCAAAGAAAAAAATTACTTTACAAGTCAAATAAAAAATTATAAATGGGCGGGGCGTACTTAAATATTATTAGAGGAAGAACAGTCAGTAAATCAAGGGAATCTAGGCAATTGCTGCTCTACCAAGTTATCACTGATTCAACAAGAGTGAGGCTGAAAGCATGGGTAAGGTTAGATTTTGTTAACCAGATACTCATGATAGTGGAGGGCACAAAATCTGAGTTTTGGGTGTTTGATTATAAAGTATGGATGCTAATTTTGTTCTGGGGGCATCTTAGATCTTTTGACATCTCCTCTTTTTCTTCTTCCTCCTCCTTTTGACATCTTAGACAGAGCCTTTTGACACCCCAGTGGCTCCCGCTGACATTTTTCTAGGCCCAATTGAAGGGGGAGAGACTACTATTTTTCCTCCACCACTCATTTCAATGTTCATTTTCTGCCAAATATAGTGAAAGATGAATAGCAAACCGACTCCTTGGCACTGTGAGGTTCCCCTCTAGCTCTCCATGCTCTGACTCCCCCCATCTCTGCCATCTAACTGAAGCCTAGAGTCTACCTTGGATCGCTCTGGAGATACAAAGTCCACAAACCATTATATATCTAATCAGAAGGAAGTCCCATTGAGTCCAGTAGATCTTGTCTCACACCTATCCCAGGTAAGTATCAGTTTTCAGACTCTCCTGTTGATTTGAGATAATGGTTTGTTTTCTTGGGCCACTCAGGCCCCTTCCACATAGTTGAATAAAATCCCACAGTATCTGCTTTGAAATGGAATATATGGCAGTGTGGACTCAGATAATGCAGTTCAAAGCACATATTGTGGAATTTTATGCCTTGATATTCTGGGTTATAGGACTGTGTAGAAAGGGTCCTCAGGCTAGCCATGTTTTATAGTTTTTTTAGGGTTTTTTTTGTTTTCGTTTTTGTTTTTTTGTAAATGAGGCATGCCATTAAGCCATGGCAATTCAAATGTGGGGAGGTCAAACTATGTTAATTCTACAGTGTAGATGAACTGAAAGGATCTGGGGTTCAGGGTTCCACTCCTAATTCAGCTATGGAAACCCACTGCATGACATTGAGGAAGTCCCACTCTCTCAGGCCTTGAGGAGAAATGGTTAAAAACTTCCTTCTTCCCCCTCTTCCTCCTCATCCTCTTTTTCTACTTCCTCTCCTTCCTCCTCCTCTCCTTCTTCCACTTATTCCTTTTGTCCTCCTCTTTTTCTTCTTCTTCCTCCTACTCCATCTTTCTGTCTCCCGCTAGATGCGCTCAAGGCTTCTTTCGACTCAAATTCGACCCTTTCTTCTTCTTCTTCTTCTTCTTCTTCTTCTTCTTCTTCTTCTTCTTCTTCTTCTTCTTCTTCTTCTTCTTCTTCTTCTTCCTTTTCCTTTTCCTTTTCCTCTTCCTCTCCTCCTCCTCCCCACCCTCTTCCTCCTCTTCTTCTCCTTCCCTTTCTTCTTCTTAGAATCATAGAATGGGATTCTATGATTCTAAGAGTTGGGAGACCTCATGGGCCATCCAGTCCAACCCCCTGCCAAAAAGCAGAAAAATCATATTCAAAGCACCCCCGACAGATGGCCATCCAGCCTCTGTTGAAAAGCCTCCAAAGAAGGAGCCTTCACACTCCGGGACAGAGAGTTCCACTGCTGAACGGCTCTCTCTCAACAGTCAGGAAGTTCTTCCTAATGTTCAGGTGGAATCTCCTTTCCTGTAGCTTGAAGCCATTGCTCCATTGCGTCCTAGTCTCCAGGGCAGCAGAAAACAAGCTTGCTCCCTCCTCCCTATGACTTYCCCTCACATATGTATACATTCTTCTATCTTTTCCTCTTTCTCTTCTTCTCCCTCCTCCTCCTCCTCCTCCTACTCCACCTATCTCTTCCTTTTCCTTTTCCTCCTTCTCTTTTTCTTCCTCTTCCTCCCCTTTGCCTTCTTCTCCTCCTCAAAAGCTTCTTTCCCCTCAAAGCCAGCCCCTTTTGGGCATCTCCTTCTGTTTTCACTGCACTCCTCAACCGTCTCTCTCTCTTTCTCTTTATGCGCCTCGGAGTTCCCCCCTCCCTCCCTTTCCCCCCTCCCTCCGGAGAGCGCCCAGCCGCACGCGAGCCGCACGCGCTCGGCACACACACACAAAAAGCCTCTTTCACGCTTGGATGCTGGCTTCCGCTGCGCGTCGCAAAGCTGTTTTCTCGCAAATAGCCCCCTCCCTTCCCCCTCCCCATGCCCGCCCGCGCGCCAGCGAGCGGCTCCCCGCGCGCGCCACCAACGTTAAGACCAGCAGCGGGGGGCGGGGCCTGACGTGAGGCGGGGGGAGGGGGAGAAGGAAGAGGCGTTGGCGGTTGAAGGATTGAGGGCGCGCGCCACTGGGCTGGAGAGAGAGAGAGAGAGAGAGAGAGAGAGAGAAGAGGGAAGGCGACGGCGTCCTCATACAAYTAAAATAAAACAAAACAAAACAAAGTAAAACAAACTAAAGTAAWGTAAAAAGTAAAGTAAAATAAAAAGTAAAATAAAATAAAAATATAATAAAATATAATAATGAATAGAATAAAATTGGTTTGAGTATAGCTTTCTCTCTCCACACACACACCCACCCCACTTCTGTTGCTGAGGGATGGCTGCCTGTCTAAACCTTGGCACCAGAGTCGGACTGAAGCACCTACCAAAGTAAACGGACTGAGGGCTTTCTAGGCCAAACCACAACCCTTCTTTACAAGTTCCTGAATCCTTTTTGTTTCTGAAGTCCAGAAACCTCCAGGAGTTGTTTATAACAGAGTTGATGCAGCAAAGTATGAGGGAAAATTCAAATCTTGCCTGAGGCGCTAAAAACACCAAAGGGAAGATCTGTCTCAGCTCTATTTCAGACCCCGTTTAGACTACCAT